AAGAAAAACCGGAAGAAATTAATCCCCATTTGGGGGGAAAATATAAAATTTCCTATTTTCTTCTAAACTAAATTTGCTTCTTTATAGTATGTTTAGGCCTTCAGCCTAAATATTACTTTTTTTCGAACCGCCCTAATTCCAGCATATGTACGTGCTTACGTCGCCCTGTACAAAATCTGACTAGCCTAGAACTAGCGTAGAACTAGACCATTTGGCCGACAGTACCAGTTCTAGCTCAATAAGCAATGCTTTCAACTGTCCAGTTTTACACGGCGATGTCATTGGCGGTGGCAATAGTCGCCCAGTGCATTACTTTGTAACCAGTTTTTAACCGGTTCCATTTTGGACAGTTTTCTTTATAAGAAAACGTTTGCGATTCGATTTTTGGAAATTTTTTTCGTTTTTTCTTTTCTTTTACAGATTCCGTTGTTGTTACATATTTTATAAAAAAAAAAATATTGTAAGCTGCACGCAACAAAAATTCATTAAATTTTAAAACTCACAACTGCCTCCACCGCGATTTGAACGCCCCTGCAGGGAAAGCGCGGACTGGCGCATAAAATTTCTAGTTCCGTACAAGATCTTTATCGCCATAAACGAACCAGTCCGATAGTAAGTAGATCCCCACCAGCTCAAAGTCAGTGAAATGTAGGACTCTTAAAAAAACTAGTTTATTTCTCTTTTTTCATTAGAAATCTATATCTAAAGTGACGAATTTAGAAGTGGTTCGGAATTATAGAAAAAGGGACGCAGGACGTACTAGATCCTATCTGTCGAATTTAGAACTAGTTCGAAACTATCGAAAAAGGGATGCAGCGGGGGGCTTGTTTACTTTGCATAGATATGTGTTTGGCGGCTTTTTCGTTCAAATACACTTTCATTCTGCACTTCGCAGATGCTATTTCATAGTTTGGTAATACAAAACAAAACTTTGTGTTAACATATTAACATCTTGGGACCGTCTGGAATCTAACCAATAACAGCGAGCACCTCTGCAAAGTCAGCTACAGCCAAAGGTATGTAAACGTACATTTCTTACAATCACTCAAGCAAATTTAATTTCAAATTGAAAAAACATTTCTTTGAAAATAATGTAAAATCGCACACGGAAGAACCGAAAAGATTGAAAAATCATGATACTTTTTTCTTTCGTCTGGCGATTTTAAAACTGGTTCGAAACTATAGAATTTAGAACTAGTTCGGAACTATCGAAAATGGGATGCAGCGGGGGGCAATTGACACTTCCTTGGACATCGCCATGTTAAATTCGCCAGTTGTTTGTATGCAAAAGAGAGAGTGCTGGGTCTAAACGTACTACAGGCGCACCAGTTCAGGACTAGAGATTTTCCCCACAGGGTCCCGACCAGTGTTGGCAAAATGTTAATCTGATTAACGATTAAAATTTTAATCGCGATTAAAGATTAAAATTAATTAATCGTAATCATCTTTATGATTATTGATTAAATTTTTTTAATCATTAATCGTCGGTTGTGATTACGATTAATTAATCTTAATCATCAATCGGTAATCCGATTTAAAAAAATCTGATTAAGTGGTCTAGTTTGTCTGCAATTTAAATTTAAACACCATATACGGTTATTCTTTTCTGTTTGATGCTTATGAAAAACGAATAATACTTTTATAAACAAATAATAATTATAATTTGTATAACATAAACTGGAAAGTTTGACAACCCATGGCACATGTGCAGAGAGATATAAAACCTAGTTTTCATAACGTCTGCTGGTAATAGATCACAATCAAAATGCACACCAAATTGCTTAGATTGATGAGGGAAACCGACTTAGCCATACCCGATTAACTTACCTTGTGTGCAAAAGACAATTCCAGCATAAATTAATTAATCACCAAACCTACTTAATCAAATTAGGGGTTAATGATTAAACATTAATTTGTTTAATCACGGTTACGATCAACTATTTAATAAGATTAAATTAAACTATGATTAACTGTAATTCAATTGAATTTAATCAAATTAACTAATTGATTAAAAAATCAATCGATTAGTGCCAACACTGGTCGCGACCAACTATGGTTGAGTCGGAGGTCTTCTCGCTGAACTACTTTCGTATTGTACGACTAGTGAGCATTTGCACATATACAACACAATTTTCAACTGTCCCGCTCTGCATTCCTTTTGCACTAGTTCAGAGATAGTTCTGAGATATATAGTTCGGAACTAGCGCTTTGTCAGACTGTCTCTTAACTTTACTGCAGGGTCTGTATAAGCATATGGCTATGTGTATACACAAACGCATACATATATACGTACATGCACGATTCAATAATACAAGGTTAGATAACACTGTGAGACAAATGGTAGGGGTCAGTGATCGGGAAGGGTTCAAACTACCGGGGAAAGTTATATCGGTAAAAAAGAAGTTATACGTGTCCCGGCGTTTCGCTGGGTCACGTCTAGGAATCGAGATATATCGATTTGAAGTTAGTAACTATCATATAGGGGAAATTGTCACCTTTGGTGGTCTTTTTTTTGATATAACTCGAGAACCACTAGTCCGATTTTTCATGGCAAATATCTACATTTCTGAGCCATAGTGCTATTTTCCATTTTTGTAGTTTTTAAAAGATGCTTAGACTAGAGGCCGACCGATTCCAATTTTTTTTTTTTTCAGGAATGTACCGATGCCGACTAATCGGCTTATGGGGGAAGAATCGGCCGATGCCGATTCCACAAATAGTAAATAGAAGAATCGCCATATTTTGACCGGTTTTGGCATTTGGTATTTGTCTTTTGTTTAATTAATGTTTTTTTTTATACAAGTCTAGCTGGTATACAACAAACACCATATACATAAATTCGGATTTCGAGCTTTTACAAAAATTAGAAAAGGGTAACACCAAAAGAGAAATCGCCGATAATATTTCGTGTCTGAACACAGACTAAGGGCCAGTTACTCAATGTCTGGTTAACACTAATCTGCGGTCAAACATGGTTATCGACGTCTTCGACTCCATACATATAACAGGGAGTCAGTAACGCCGATATCTATGTTTAACCGGAGATTAGTGTTAACCAGACATTGAGTAACCGGCCCTAAAGGTTCTTTCCCGTACGCAACGCGGGATCCCGCGTGTGCCCAAAACAGCCCAGAAATCATTCCCGTACTCAAGAAAATGGGTAACAGAGAGCGATAATTGGAACGTAGGTATCTTCTTCTTCAACTTTGCAACAAACAAAGTTGGTCGCCAGTCATTCAACTTTTTTTCATGCAACCCTGCGTGAGTTGAACGCTAAAGTTGAACGCAAAATCGCCTTGTGCGAACACCTTTTAAGCGATACCCAGTTTAAGAAATGTCGCATCATTGAAAAACAGGAAAAGTATAAAGCCTCTTAGGGCCGTTTGCACCATGTCTAGTTAATTCTAACTCCCAGTTAAACATCTTTATCGACGTTATCGACACCCATCATATAACATGTGCTCGATAAAGCAGTTGACGTGCTTAACTGAAGGATGTACCTCCAGTTAGCGTTAACTAGACATGGTGCAAACGGCCCTTAGGGCCGGTTGTTCAATGTCTGGTTATCACTACTTGCCGGCTAAACATCATTATCGACGATTTCGACATCATGCATATAACATGTGATCGATAAAGCAGTCGTTGTATCTAACCGGAGCTTCTACCTCCGATTTGTGCTAATCAGACATTGAACAACCGGCCCTTAACTGTCAATCCTTCTAACAGGTCTATTCAGCACGTTATCGAAGATTTTGTAACCGGAAAATTTTATTACCAAAAAATGTTACCAGTTCTTGTCACCGCGATTCTAGGTTTGTTGGTAATGCAGTTAAAATATTCAGCAGTTCAGCTATGGAGATTTGTGCAAATTCTTGTGCTGCATATTTCACTGGGCAATACTTTGTTACCAGCTTATGGGATGGTAAATAAATTTACCGTTTACAAGAGTACAGAGAATGTGAAAAGGGTTTCAAAATTTACAGGAACTTTATTTACCGGTTACAAACTTTTTATTATCAGCGCTTTTTATTACGTTACCGAAGATTTTGTAACCGGAAAATTGTATTACCAAAAAATGTTACCAGTTCTTGTCACCGCGATTCTAGGTACGTTGGTAATGCAGTTAAAATATTCAACAATTCAGCTATGAAGAATTGTGCAAATCCTGGCATTGAATATTTCACGGGGCAATAATTTGTTACTAGCTTATGAGATGGTAACAAAATTTACCGGTTACAAGAGCATAGAGAATGCGAAAAGGGTTTAAAACAAACGGTTACAAACTTTTTATTACGTTACCGAAGATTTTGTGACCAGAAATTTGTATTACCAAAAAATGTTACCACTTCTTGTCACCGCGATTCTAGGTACGTTGGTAATGCAGTGAAAATATTCAGCAGTTCAGCTATGGAGATTTGTGGAAATTCTTGTGCTGCATATTTCACGGGGCAATATTTTATTACCAGCTTATGAGATGGTAACCGAATTTACCGGTTACAAGAGCGCACAGAATGCGAAAAAGGTTTAAAAATTGACAGACACTTTAATTACCGGTTACAAAATTTATGTTACAAGCGCAGAATAGACCTGTAACAGGTAACAGGTCTATTCTGCACGTTACCAAAGATTTTGTAACCGGAAAATTTTATTACCAAAAAATGTTACCAGTTCTTGTCACCGCGATTCTAATTACGTTGGTAATGAAGTTAAAATATTCAGCAATTCAGCTATGAATAATTGTGGAGATTCTGGCATTGCATATTTCACGGGGCAATACTTTGTTACCAGCTTATGAGATGGTAACAAAATTTACCGCTTACAAGAGTACACAGAATTCGAAAAGGGTTTAAAATTTGACAGGAACTTAATTTACCGGTTACAAAACTTTTATTACCAGCGCAGAATAGACCTGTAAATGTGAAATGTATTTCAGCGGCATCTATACGACAAAACCTTGAACAGAGTTGCTTTATTATATTACTAGCATTTGCCAAGGTAACACTGGCAGGTTTTTGACAACTTTATTGTGAATAAAAGGAGTTTAAAGAAGAGGAACTGCAAAGTGTGCTGCGTTGCTGTTTTTGCCCGTGGAAGTCCGATTGTAAGTTACATAATTATTAACAAATATATTTAACATTTCTTATGGTAAATATCTTATGAAAACAGAATCATCAAAATGTCTGATAAGCCTGTTGAGAAAGTTGGTCGCCCCATGAAGTACCCGTATACTTTCAGCGCAAAAATCGCTCAATTTCCGCTAAAACACTACATACAGAATCAATGGATTTGGAAATATTATTTCATTGCTTTTGGTCTGTGCATTCCAGTATTCTATAAAATCAGCAAATTAGGTATGAAAGAAAATTGCTGCAATTTTATTAAATGTATGTATGTGTTTATATTCCAAAATTTTATTCACTTTTTAGCAAACTCGCCCGCAAACAAACAAAAATGGGCCGAGAGCCAGGCCAAGGAAGCTGCAGAACATCATTAAATTGAAAGGAATATCACTGGTCATTTGATATATAATTAATTTATAAATTTTTGAAAATATGTTCAGGAATAAATAGCGTATTTTTGAACCTCACAACAACAATTCTGGAGTTCATGCAAGATATTTAGATGGATGCAGAGAAATTTTGATCCATTAATTATAACTGGTAGGAATAAAATGTAAGAACCGTCATGTGTCGAGTTACATACACAGTCAGTCAATAAAGTTTAGGTACAGCGAATTTCTTACAATAAATATAGACTTTAAGTTTTTCGTGATATCCCCGAAAATGCAAGTTGCTATTTTTCCAAAAAGTTAAATAGAGTTACCATTTAAGTACATATCTTCAAAAAACGCACAACTCGGAAAATTTATAGGCCGATTTTATTGCATAAATCGATTCGTAGGATTTGTCTCCAATTAATGCAACATTTGTTTATTCATGGTTATAATCTCGTAACTATAAACCTGTTGTTATATCTTTGTATCTATGAATTGCGTTGAATCTGTACCATCCACAAGCAGTTATATTTTCTGATCCGATTTTTAAGTTGGGCCTCTTTTGAAAATGGTGTGCAATATGTATGTACATACGTGTATACCATGAATCAAAAATACAAGATCACGCAAGAACACGACGTTGTATTTATAACTGCTTTTGAGAAAAAAGTTTTCGAAAGCGGTGTCGTCAGCTGAGCATTTGTTTATATGAATGAATTTTACCTAAAGTGTGTGTTTAAAGTGGCTGGCAATAATTTTGGATAATTTTGGTTTTCGTTGTTTTCATTGCTTTGTTTACTTTTCTTTCGTTTTCCAGTGAAACAATATGGCACTACAGATATGTACACAAAAAGTACCGAATGTTTACATACCCATGTACTAATTATTTGATATCACTAGGTGTTGGGTAATCTTGGTAGGAGGCAGCTTTTACGAAAAGAGGCAACACTTGTCAATTGATGAAAACAAATGTAAATTCGGGTTCACCTTTTATAAAATACAAAGATTTTTGGATAAAATAAGTAAAACTAATATTTGTGGCAATGATTAAAATAAAAAACGAATAAAGTTTTATTAGAAGATGTATGTGAGGGGTATTGAAGCTATAAAACAATATATGCCACAAGATAACTCTGAAATTTCTACAAACATAAAGGAGGAGAGAGGACAAGAACTAACTACAACCGATGCAATGTCTTCGGCGGAACGGTATAGGTAATTCAGATTAAAGAAAAAGTTTATTACATTTTTTATTGTTTTAATATTTGGTTCTTATCATCAATCGCGCATCTACAATCACAAATGGTTGATGCTTATTGGACACAAAAACTGGAAACGTGCCTGCTGATATGAAACTGAGTTCGTATAGGCTTAGTTGACTAGGATAAAGTCAGCCTTTGTTTCTTATCTTTCACTTCTAGACCACGTTGACATGACTTAACTCTATGATTTTGCCAGTAATTGCTTATATAGCCATGGACCAAGAATGATAGAACGATTATCTACGTCGTGGCTATGGACGACATTTCACTAACTACTATTGGACTGAGTATTTATATAAAAGGGCGGTAACTTGCTACGCCCTATAATACTGCCGATACCATATACATATATATATATATATATATGTATTTTGTTTCCATAAGAGATTCCTACATTTAACTACATACCATATTCAAATACTTAATTGATCAATACCTATGTATATTAATCAACGAGTCTTTCTTTTATATGTACGTGTGTCAAGCATTAGTCACTTAAGTGTCCTATACGGCCATGTTACGTCTTAAATGACTTCGGGCTCCTTTTATATGGAAGTCGTTCACGACTTTTTCATTGAAATGGTAATTTGGTCGATGACGGCCTGTGCATGAATTTGTCATGCAGTGATCGCTGATGGCATTCAAGCGACACTTTCTACAATGGACTTTTTATAAGTCAGCGCTGCAAGACATTGTCTGTTATAAGTCTTTGATAGGAGTACACATGCATGCCATTATCACCTGTGTCATTGTCAGCTATATGTCGTTAAGGATTCACAGCAAGTGCGGCGATGCCACTAAATCCTCATTAGTGATGATGTCACCTATCAGCTATTTTGATAACGATGCGCTTTATCAAGAAAACTTCTTAGATAGGCTGAAGTCATTGAAATATCTTAGGAATTCAGCTACCTATAAATGAGATTATGCAATTCGTCTATCCAAACAGTGAAGAATGGGAGAATCTCTTGAAGTACTTAGACAACGATCCAGAATATATACGTGAACAAGCATTTGAGGGGGACTTGAAGGTCTCAAAGTTTCGTAGTATATATTGGTCGTTATTGCTACGTGTTTTGAACCCAGATTACCGCAATTGGAAAGAACAAAGAGGAAAGCAAAGGAAAAGGTGGGAATTATTTCCTTAAATAAATATTTTGTGAAGAAATTTCTGAACTGTTTTACTTAAGTATATGAATATATCTTTGTTAGGTATGAGAAACTCAAAGACGAGTTTATAAAAGATCCACATGATATTGCAGTGCCTGATGACAATCCACTATCGCAATCGGAAGAGGTATGTATAAACGCTTTCTCATATAAAAATATTATAGTACCGTTAATTTCTTCAAGAACAAATGATAGGATATAATCAAATTAGTATGGAACCACCCTTGAGACACCTTTCTGATAGAAAAAGAATTATCGAAATCTGTGGACGTGGTCCAAAGTTTTGCGGTAACATACAATAAAAAAGGTCTGTTAATAAACAGTTCTAGAAATAGCGCTGTTCTGGGTCAAAATATAAAAAACACGATTAGATATAAAATCGGAATTTTTCAAATGTTACATTTAAACTTTGGTAGAAAACTTGCGTATGCATACCTAAAAAGTAGATACCGTTTATTTACTAACAAGCCCAATTTAAAAAAGGAAACGGAGTTTTTTATGTGATGCGTTTATTTAAAGTTTTCAACTTAGTCCAAAAATGCAGAAAATTAAGAAAGAAAGCTATACAAGATTTTGCAACGAAATTGCTACACTATATGAAACATGAAATGTCTAACGAATAGTTCTGCATCATTAGCTAAAAAATTCGTTTTGTGACAATCCTTTAAGAAAAACAAAATGTTAATCTGATCAACGATTAAAAATTAACGATTAAAATGTTAATCGCGATTGCCGATTAAAATTAATTAATCGTAATCACCCGTATGATTAATGATTAAATTTTTTAATCCTTAATCGCTGGCAAACACCAGTTCTAGTAATTATTTTATGTTTTATGCTTACAAAAAGCACATAAAATAAAAGAAAAATTATAATTATTATTAGTAATACATAAACTGGGAACTTTTACAACCCAGCGCACATGTGCAGAGGGATATTAAAACCTAGTTTGTAAAACGTATGTTCGTATAGATCTTAATGCAAATGCACACCAAATTTGTTCGATTGATGAGGAAACCCGACTTAGCCATACCCGATTAACTGGCTTTGTGTGCACAGGAAAATTCCAGCATAAATTAATTAATCACCAAACCTACTGAATCAAATTAAGAGTTAATGATTAAAAACAAATTTTTTTAATCGCGGTTACTATTAACTGTTTAATCAGATTAAAGTTAATCATGATTAACTGTAATCGGATAGAATTTAATCGAATTAACTAATTGTTTAAAAAATCAATCGATTAGTGCCAACACTGCACGATACAAATATTTATTTTTTTATTATTTTTATTTTTTAAATATTTGTATCACGAAAAAAATATGTACATACATACATACATTCTAAAACAATATAAGATATTCCATGTTGAATAATTTTCATATTTCAATATTTAAGAGCGTGTGGAACCAGTATTTCAGTGACCAAGAACTTTTCGCTGTTATAAGTCAAGATGTCATTCGAACATTTCCAGGCGTGGACTTCTTTCGTAAGAAAATCATTCAAGATGCCATGGTTTGTTGAATTTTTCGGTACAAATAGTCAAAAATTACAATTGAAGTTTTTACAGTGCAATATTCTTTTCTATTATGCACGGGAACACCCGTATATGTGCTACCGCCAAGGAATGCATGAAATTCTTGCACCTATTTTATTTGTTTTGTATGGTGATCAGCAATCACTGCTGCATTTTTCAGAAATATCTCAGCATCAAACCAGGTAATATGCAACCAATTCGGAACGTAATACGAATACATAGAATATTGGAATTTTTCAGTGACCTTTTGTTGAGCGTACTTGATCCAAATTATTTGGAAGCTGATTCTTAGTAAGTGTACTTCTAATGTGATTATTTTTTCAATGATTTTATACTTGTTTAGCTCTTTGTTTTCGCGGTTGATGTCATCTATCGAGTCGTATTATCGAATAAAAAGCTTCGTGCAGCCACCCAATGAAAGTGTTGCTTCGGACGGTGATGTAGGTTAAGAAATCAAATGAAAGAATATATGTATGTAATAAAGCCCATTGCAAATTTTAGTCAAAGCCAGCATTGGGACCCGGTGTGGAAGTCATAAGTCAACTAAATTCCATACGCGAGAAAATTCTTGCCAAGGAAGATTTACATTTGCATAATTACCTGCTGAAACTTGACATACCGCTACATATATTTGGAATGTAAGTAAATTATATTGTAACTAATTTGCAAATACCTGCATTTTTTTTTAATAGCCGTTGGCTTCGTCTACTCTTCGGTCGAGAATTTCCACTCCTTGACTTGCTGGTTATTTGGGATGCAATTTTCGCAGATAGTGACCACTTCGACTTGCCAAACTACATTCTAGTAGCAATGCTGATACGTATTAGAGATAAATTGCTTTTGAGTGATCAGACAACTTGCCTTACCTACCTAATGCGATATCCCACCAATGTGGATGTAAATTTAATTCTACGTCATGCTTTGCATATGATTATGCCCAAAAGATTTGAACGTCCTTCAAATGCCTTTGTTTACTTTACGGTCCACAAGCAAACTGCTGGTGCATTGAGGAAGACTGGAGCCAACAAATCACCGGCACCGCAAAACTCGCTCAAATCAAGTAGTTCTTATGAAGCTAAAGAGCATTTTAGCAAACTCCAAAATAGTGCTACAGTTTCTACTGCTGATAATTTGTCTAAAATGAAGCAACAAAT